CCGTAACGTCTTCCATATCGTCTTACGCTTCTGAACCGTCTTTTTTGAAAGAATAAAGAAAATAATGACAAATCAAAAATTAAATCTTATATTGTTTACTGATATGTCAGTACCATTACTTATTTTTTTTAATCGTTACTCTAAGAAAATAGCTACGAAACTTAATTGATGAAACTAAGACAATTTTTATCCAAATTATTTTTGTTAGTGGCAATAACGACATTATTTTTTACAACCACATACCTTGAAACAGAACGGAAGCGGCGTGATCTAGAACAGTTTAAGCTAACATTAGAGTTTTAAAACCATGGCAATTAGACTATTAAACACTTGTCCTTGACGTAATTAAACAGTGCGTACTAAAACACTCTCCAAGAGAGTTTGGTTCAGAAAGGGCAACCAAGAGAGCGCTTTCTCCGGGCCAAACTTTCTCGCAACGGCTAGGAACGTCTGGCTACGGAGGATAGAGTTGTTTCACTGTTGCTACGACAACATAGGTGGTGAAGAAAGGCTCATTCAAAAGACTTATTGGAAAAAAATAAAGAGATTTTCTTGATATTTTTTGTGTGCGCTTAAGACTGAAAAATGATTTTTAATAATGTTTCTTTTTTAAAATCAGGATATATCGTCAACCTTCTAGTGTGGCGATCGAATTGTATTTGAGACAAACATAAAGCAAACATTCGTTCCATATCAAGAAAAAGAAAAAAAAAACGAAAAAGAAAATGAATATACAAAAACAAAAACAAAAACAAAAAAACAAAAAAACAAAGAAAGATATAAGCACTGTTAGTGTTAAAAATTTTCTTTTCACACTAAACCTAAACATTTAAAAAAGTGAAAACTTGAAGGGCGAGATCACTATATTCTTTGAGTATGTAACTCAAATAGGCGGAATTTCACAAAAAAGAAGAAAAGAAAAACAATCCAAAGCAGATTTATAGGTCTTACCCGCCACGCCAGGAGCGTCCACGGCTGACGCTACGCGAGCGGCCACTCCTGCGACTCCAGCTTTCTGCCTCAAGAACAAGACAGAGTACAACTAGTGCCAAGAAGACAAGCTTAAGGTCAATCTTGAACCCCATCTTCAGTAAGGTTAATTATCGGACTGTTCCGTCCAACTAACCAACCTRGAATGACTACATCACATCTAGTGCTTGACATATTGAACATTGTAACGTGAAAAAACAGGATTTTTTTTCGTGAAAAAACGTTGCCGTTCAGTGGGACACTTACGGTGACTTTTATCGGTCTGTTGCATAGCTACTTAGCTTGAACATAGACACAATTAGAACCTAAAATCAAAACAAACATAGTCTTTACTCTTGATGGTATGACTACGGAAAATTACTGACTATATAGTAAATTCCATTAACMACAAATATCAAGAAATGTTCAGTCGTAAAGATATCATTAACACAGCAACGCGATTAAATCGAAAATATGTTTTTTTTATTAGCCTCYTAATTGCAGATGAGGGGGAGGGGGGTTATTTAACTAAACTTAGTTCAATGCACAGGTGTACTGTGTAAGAACTAGCTGCTAGAATGAGCAGTTAACAACAAAATACTATCTCATGCACAAACAGAAACACCGAACCTCTAAAAGCTTGTGAGGGAGCAATTTGAAAAATAWAATCTTCATAAGATGAGTTTCACTTGAAATCTCAAAATAAGTGCCAAAACAAATGTTGTTGACATAGACGTTTAGTAACTTAAAACTGTRTTGTTTTTTTAAAGATGTGATATAAAGCAAAGTAAATGATTATGTTGTTGTCTTTTTGTTTTTACAATTTAACGTTAATGTGTTGACTGTATATTAGTAACGGTTTCAGACGAAAACAAATGCAGTATCCATTTTCTCTTTTGATTAAAGAAGGAAAATTTGAATTTTAAATTTAATTTGTTTAAACATTATGACGTGTCATTRTAATTGAAAATTAAAGGAGTTGGAAAATTGTAAACACGGGATAGAAAAACAAATTTTCATCAACGTTAACTACGTGCGATGAAATCAGTTGTGAAACGTTTTTAAGCTTTTTTTAATAATTCGAAAAAGAAAAGAAAATATGACATATAGAAATCAGACATTTTGGATTGAGTACATGGATATATCTTGCATCTTATTCAATAAATTAAGTTAAGAGTTATTATAATATTTAATGTAAACACTTAGCTTAGACGGAAATTTAAACTCGTTAGTCTTTTATTTTTTCTTGTTTTTTTTCTTACTTTTCTATTTTTTTTTTCTTATTTTTTTGCTTAAGGGAACGACGTAAGTCACGCAAAAAGGATAAACATTTTAATATTAAAAAAGCGAATTGAGGGTCTCAATTGCATAAAGGGTGTAAATTTCATAACATYGATTTTGGCGGGGATCGTACGCCAAATGACACTGAAAATGCAGTAAGGCTTGGTAAATATTTTTTTGAAAACACAAATCAAGGGCGTAAGAGAACGCAATATTTTCAACTTTAAAGAACAAAAATATCACGGTTGACACGCTTTCAGGGTTCACGATTATATATATATTTTTGTCACTTTTTCACGTCACACGGTTATTTTTTTAGCCGTTTCAGGTTAGCACAATCTGACAATTGAGACCATCAAAATTAAACGTAGTTTAGTGCATTAGTGCGAAAAGATTTCTCTTTGTTCAGTAAACCATCACTAAATCTCTTTCCGTGAGACGAAATGACAACTTTGCTTTGGATTTGAACCCCATATACTAAACATTATATATTGAATAGAGTCGAGCTAAACATCTTTTAAAAATTTAAAAATTAACCGACTGTCTGATCTCTATGATTTGACTCATTTTTTGAATAAGGCACATTGTTCTTTTCTTAATACTTTGCAATTATTTAATTCTTCACCGTGCATTTTGTTTTACAATCGGATTATCTCATTTTATTTATTGGAGTATTTTTGTGTGTGTTGRTGCCACATTCAGGAGCTTTGCTATGGCGACATACGGCTATTTCACAAAACGAAAATACAGCATTATTGCTATCCATTTACTAATTCAAAGTGAAAAAACGCTGRTTTYCTTGACAGCAGATTCTCTTGCGCAAAGACCTTATCGAAAACAAAAGAAAGCACGAGAAATTGTCGTTATTACAATAGCCTTGAAAATTTGCACTTGTAATACACTATATACCACATGGTATCCCTGTGCCTCATATACTTTGACTAGATTGATATGACGCCATGTAGGCACTTCAGTCAAAATCTTGTGACTATGATACTGCGAACAAGTAGACTCCTGTCGCTATGACGTAATCGAGAAATTAAATCTCATTGGTTTACAGGTTTATAGGATTCTGTAACGCAATATTAGCTGATAAATCTATAGTTAAACGTCGAGTACATTAATTTTGCACAATTTCAAGACATCCATTTAATTAGATCATTGAAGCTTGGTAAGTTCTATAAAACTATCAGAATCTTTAAATAACAGACATAAGAATACAGTAGAGCGAGGTCATTACATCTCTGTACAATCTTACGACTTGATTCGCACTAATTAAACAAAAGGGCCCACGATTTTGCGCTCAATTGCACTGACTACTGAGGTAGTACTTCAGTATACACAGTGGATGTTGTTAGGAGTTACGAGTGTAAGGGGWAAACATGTCACGAATAATTTCGAGGTCGATCAACTGAGTTATAWATCAAATTACAARTTCCGCTTTGCAAGCTTGCTGATCAAAAATTATCATTAGATACTTTAAGTTGAAATTCTTAATAATAAGACAATATACTCCGAATTTAATTACGTTAGGTGTATCCTATACTACACATTCAAGGTCATGATGCTGTAACTACAATTATGAATTAGAATATCAAACTAGACGCATAACTGCGTGAACTCGGGGTTCTTGTTGATAAAAATCTAGTATTGTAGTGAATCCGAAAGATTAATATTCAGCGTAAATTGTTATATCGATAAAATTTCGGTACACTTTCGTAGTTTCTTTGGTAAGTCTCGTTTACACTTGCGAATCCATGTTGCAGTGCATCAAATAAGGCTAAGAGAACGAAAACACTACTTTGCATAGCAGGCATAGTGCATAGTACCYATAYATATCAKRCTTAATTTYCTTGTGGAGTTTATCTTTTGTATAATTATTGAATTAATTTTGCCATTATTATTATTTGTTGACATCTTTTCAGTTTGTAAGCTTATAATTATTTAAATCTTTGGCTGCAAGCCGCATCCTCACTTTGATAGCAGGGGATAGCAGTCACATGGCAGGCTATAAACACAGAGTTTTCTATTTTCTCCGCTAAATAAAATACTTCCAATCGTCGGTTTGAGTTGTCCTTGGTAGAATTCTGTTTGTATTCCTTAGATAACTCCTTTGTAGTTTCAGAGCCTGTATATGCTAGTTCGCGATACTAAGACAATTCTCGATAAAATGGACTGCGATCGAAGTTTTACGATAAATTCATGGTATCTCTCCAAATGCCCTTTCGAAAAACGCTGAACATTTTTTAGTGTGACTATACCGCGAATGGTGCCTTTTGGATTTGTAAGTGATTTGAGCGTATTCGAAGTTTTAACTTCAAATAGACATTTTAAAAAAATGTCTTTCGATCATCTCGTGTACACTCGCCACCATAAAGATAGCACATGATAACATTCGTACCCAGTGCCTTCTAGTTTGGCCGTGATAATTTGTGAACGACAAAGACCATGACAAAGACAGCCGAAACCTAAACTCGCGGTTCCACAGGAACCCCGAGTAATAAATGACCCTGGAAACTTGCGTGACGATTCATTTCACAATCGCATGTAGCATTTAACTTGATTCTTGTTTATCCTATATTTACCCAGTTCGATTGATTGATTGATTGATTGATTGCTCGATTGATTTATTGATTTATTGATTCACTGATTGATTGTTCGATTGATTGATTGAATGTTCGATTTACTGATTGATTGCTCGATTTATTGATTGGTGAAACTATCGATCGGTTGGTTGATTAAGGTTCGTTCGTTTGTTTATTCAAATATCAATTTAATCGATTGGAAAATAAACTGATGGTCACCTAATAGATACATTGATTGATCAATGTAAATTATTTCTTTAATGACTTTAATCTTATCGATCGATTGTTTTGCTAGTCTCCTCTTCAAGTGGTTACGAGACTCGTTCCCACTCTCGTTTCTCTTCTGAATGTTAATTTTTTTCCTGATCGTCATGTTTGCTTCCCTTTCCACAGTAAATCCTGTCGACCAGACAAACACCAAAATGCAAATGCAGAGCACGCCAAAGACACTGCTTGACAACTTCAAAACTGATGATATATTCACTCACGTGATACTGCACCATGACAACAGCAAGTCACATGACATGAATAATTGCGAAGAGGCACTGCATGATGGGAAATGCAAAATGATGAGCAACTGGGCCAATGCTTTCAGAGACAAAACAGAGAAATCAAAGTCTATATTACTAGTGGGCCAACGTGGAATAGGCAAAACTCTATTCACCAAAAAGCTTATTGATGACTGGAGTCAAGATGGCGGCGTGTTTGGGAAAGCTGGAGAAGAAGACTTAGTCAATGGTGTTTGTAAGCTAGGATACTTGATGTCCGTTGAAGAGCTTAACTCTTTTGAAGAGAAAGAATTCAGCCTTGTGGATTTGCTCAAACATGTTACAGGGGTGAGCAAGAACAGTGAAAGGACTACTTTGGTCGAGCAGCTCATCCAGAATCCCGAAAACTTGCTTTTGGCTTTTGATGACTTCGATGAATTCAAAGACCTAGTTCAATGTATGGATAGTAATCTTGAAAGTACGTTTCCTGATGACCCAAACACGAAAATGCCTTTGAGTTTATTGATAAATAGATGTTGTACATTTGCCAAAGTCAATTAATGAGCTTTATAGTAATGTAACAGAATCAATTGAAACGAACCACAACGTGGCAACTTTGGAAAATACTACAGGAGGCAGCGCAGATGCGCCAACACTGGCAATGCTGTCTCAACTAGCAGTCAATTTGGCATTAGATCAGAGATGCAGTTTTTTTGAAGAAGACATTAAGAAGCTCAAACTCAGAGATCCTGAAGTAGCCTACCTTAAGTCGAGTAGCCTGGTATATCGCACGTCTTGCCGAAGAAAACCAGATGAAGTGGTCTTTGAATTCAGATTTTGCCATCCAACTGTTCAAGATTATTTCGCTGCTTTGGGGTTTGTTCGCAAAAAGGAAACGCCTGGGAGAAAACTTGGGTTCTTCTCAAGGAGACAGGTGGTAGCAGTTGGTGAGATGGTCGTACAGTTCATGGCAGGGATCATGGATTCTGAAAGGAATAAAGGATTGCTGCTTAAGCTGATAAAGTACATTGGAACCCCAATGGAGTATACTGCAAGTCACAGAATACTAATATTGAGATGTTTGTATGATTTCGGTAATGAAGAATTCGCTGCTTCACTTGTTAAAAAGAATCAGAAGAATTTATTCTGGGAAAACGAGGGGATTATTAGAATATACCACTATACTGAGACCGATTGCCAAGCTGTTGTTTTCCTTCTCGATATCATAAACAACTTAACAGAGAAAAAGCAAATCAAAGGAATGGTTCCTCCTGAGACATTGCACATTGAGAATTCTTCTTGCATGACCTGTAATGATTTAGAGGACATTTTCTCTTCGTTGGCACACATCCACTGCCCAGTTAGAAAACTTTTTATGAGTAATTTTCATTTCAATGATGGCAATTTGGAATCTTTAAGCAAGTGCTTGCCAGCAACTCGCATCACCGATCTGGATTTGTGCTCTTGTAAAATGACAAACGATGCCATGATGTCTATTTTGTTGCATTGTGATAAGGTAAAATCACTCAAATTGTCGTTCAATGATATCAACCACCTGGGAAAGTTACCCGACTATCCCAATTTTCACAAATTAAGTGAACTTGACCTTTCTTACAATCAAGTGACAGATGATGACGCAATGGCAGTAATACAACATTGCCAAAACTTGGCCAAGCTTAACTTGTCTTATAATTGTAAATTATCAAATGAATGTAAAAAGGAAATCCGCCGTCTATGCAAGGAAATGTATCCATCTCTCAAGCTCAACATATAAAAACTTTCCTTGCACAAATGTTAACTAGACGCTCTTAGATCGCTTACCCGGGTCGTATGTGGCTAAATGCAAGCCCTGATCGATTGTACTGATTCTCTTATAATGTGCTGCATGTAAATACATATGATAATTCCCAATAAAAATGACCTTTTTAACTTTTGAACCCTAGTGTGTATATAAAAGTTTGTTCCATTAATTTATGCATAACTCTTCTTAATAAGGTCGGATTCGGGGCGATAAAGTTCTCAAGTTGTTGCCAATACATTATTTTATATTAAATTTCATTTTATTGTTCTTCTACATGTAGTCTAAAAATCTCTAAAGGGTGCTGAAAGAGTCTTCGGAAACCATAGTAACAATCGGATGACGTACAAAGACAAAGGATACAAGCCAAATGACTTTTGCAATATTTCATGTAGTTTTTACCATAAACGACCATTTCAAAGTAAACATTTTGACTTTTAAAAGATCTTGAATGATAAAAATATTTTAACAGAATTAAGTTCGGCGAATTATGTTCGGCGTTTGACTCAGGCCTAACAGTTCCAGAAGGAATTGAAGTGACCATCAAGAAAATCAATACGCTACTTAAATGTCAATGAGTAGGAAAATCAAATTTGGACAAGTGTTCTTGACAATATTTTATAGTTATTGAATGACGAAGCTAACGTAAAGAGACTCTCAATGATCATTCACAATATTGGTCAATCGAACAAAAGGTAAATTTGAGGCAACGATATTTTATATCTTATCTCAAAATCAAGAGAGTAGAAATATGGGTTACTAAAAAAAAGTTTCCCCGACAAACCGTTTTTAACAGCAACCGGGTCTCGTATATCTGTCCCCAGAAATTTTAAGGAAACATTTCTGCAGATTATTTCTATGATTATTTAACAGCCGTTAAAGGACTGCAAAAACCAGCTATGACAGCTGTGTTGACATTACACACTCACTTTAACATACGCGTTAACAACTGAAGAGTGTCTTAATGTTTAAAAAGCATTTTCAAGAGGTTGCTTTTCAATTAAGAGCTTCAGTCGTAGTTAAGTCATTGAGGACGTGCAGTACAGTATAACATTGTGTGCTGCACTCGGTAGCAGTATTTTCTATTACTCAACGCTGGTAGAATGAACCGAAGCTACAATACCAAAAATTGTCGTCAATTCGTAAGGGAGTGGTATTATCCTGTTTTTCAAAATCTTGACTCCTTTGAGAAACTATTGCTTTTTGTCATAATTCTGAATGCTGTTCTCATCGTGACCGCAACGCTTGGAAATGGATTGATTCTAGTGACCATCTTCAAATCGAAAAATCTTCAAACGCCTTCTTACATTCTCATTGCATGTCTAGCAGTTACAGATTTCTTGATCGGACTAATCGGTCACCCAATGTTCATCGTCTTGGCGTACTTTCAGCTACAACTAAACATGGACATAGTTTGCCTGACCAAAACAATAACGAACATTATAGGTGTGTATTTTGCAGCGGTATCATGTTCAACATCGCTTCTGATAAGTATTGATAGATATTTAGCTTTGACTTTGGCACACCGCTATACGTTTGTCACTAAGAAAAAGGTCGTCTTATCGGTCAGCGTTATTTGGGCTTTATTGCTTCCTATGGCGATATTGTCACAAACTATTGAAACTTTCGCGAATTACTGGGCGACAATTACATGTGCTGTTGGCTTTCCCATTTTCGTAGCAACTTTAAGTTTTCACATCATGTCTTTGGTATGTCTTCAGCGGTATACCTCGCGAGTTCATGCTCAACAGCTTACCCAGCCGTCGACTTCAAACTCTAATCTAGATGTTGCGAAATACCGAAGAACGTTAAAAGCAATGCTGATCATATTTGGATGTTTAAGTGTTTGTTGCATACCTGTGTTATTCTCGCCATTAATGCAGCGATTTTTTGGTTCTAAAAATCTAAGATTGAACGTTTTTTATCAGAATTTATCAGTTATAATGTTTTCTTTGAATTCAAGCTTAAATCCAGTTATTTACGTTATAGCTTTTAGGGATATCCGCCGTGCCTTGAGAAGAACATGTACTTGTTATTAAAAAAGTAACCTGGTTTTAACATTATCAAAATAAAAAGTACTTAGTCAAATAAGAAAATGTGAAGTCACATACTTTGGTAAGTTAAGTCTCAAAACGACGAAAATCGGCAAATTTGCTGGTCTATTGATGAGACAATAATTGTGTAAAAAGATACTAATTCAACACCGTAATTTTTTAAGTAGGTGAAACAACCATGGCCAGAAAATCCGGACATTTGAGCTGGCAATCGCAGCGGTACTTCGCATAAATGCATAAAAACATGTTTGTAAATTTTACAAAGAAATGTATGGATCAAAAAAATATATTTGAGAATAACCTTTCATCTGTTTTAACTGGAAAGATTCCATAGATGAATTCGTAGAGGGAAATTATTCTTGATTCCACTGTGGGAAATCCAAATAAATCCAATATTGTTAACAGCGTCCTTTTTGACAATTTATTTTCCTTTCGTCGTCTCCCTTTGGCCTTGTATCTCATGGTGAAAATTCGCGCGTCGCGAAGAAGCGAAATTTCACCGTAGCTGACCGTGTTCCTTTACATGTCACTGATATTCCATAGATCATTTCTCAAAGTCCACATATTGAGGTATGAACACAGCGATTTTCATTTATTTTGAAGACGATCAACAGCGTCCGTTTTGGAACTAGAAATCGTACAATTTGAAAACACTAACTTGACGCTGAGATGGCTGGTGAAGACGCGTGTTTCACGCGAATACTTGGCCTGATCTTTCATTTTATTATCCATGTTTGGTACCAAAACAAACCTTAGAAACATGGCTTTCAGACTGGGACTGCTTTATTTTGGGAGGTTTTTACTGGCGCCTTGCGCGCACTGGTAAATAGCGCAGATAGCGGGAAATACGAACGAAKGATAMSCRAATCAKGTCTAGTGTAAACAATGTCAGACCTTTTAAATTCCTTAGAAATGTACAAGTATAAACAAAAGATCACAATATCAACTGATGGTCATTGTTTAAAATACCTGAGGGAAACGTGTGTTCCAGCAAATAATATTATCTGCACTATGAACATTCCAAACGAGCACCTCACAATCCACTAATGAACTCAAGGATCAGGGCGTGCTATACCAATACTCGTTTGTCGGTGTTTTGAACGTTCCGATTTTAGCCCAGTATTGTATTAAGATAAACGATCGTTGCATAAGAGTAGAAAACTTGATCTTCAAAAGTTCAAACCACAAGGGAACTTGTAGAAAGCTCTATTTTGGTGGGAAAACCGGCTGACTCGTCCCGGGCTCAAATGTCCGGAATTTCTGGCCATGTTACTGACGTTTCGGGCATTAATCCTTCGTTCGGAGTCAAGAAAAGTCCCTTTACTCCGACAAAGGATTAACGTCCGAAATGTCAGCAGTTGTTTCAACTAATCAGTTTTTTTAAGAAAGTAATATAAATGTAAAAAGAGGTAAAAAAAGGTAAAAAGACAAATGAGCCAAAAAATGCAAAAAAGGTAAAAAGGCAGAAAAAGCAAAAAAAGGTAAAAACTCGGGCAAAAATGGCAAAAAAGATAAAAAGGAGAAAAAGTCAAAAAAGGTAAAAATGGCAAAAACGGTAAAAAGGCAACAAAGGTAAAAAGCCAAAAAAGGTAAAAAAAAGGTAGTCGGATTTTGATTGGTCCAATTTCTAACCTTTGTCCTTTCAATACATATGACATCAATAAAAATGAAAATAGTTCTGTGTCACTGCCTACTGCCTGTACGCAAGTGAAACCATTTTTCACGTGCTAAGAACTGTTTGTCAGTCATTTGATATCTTTTCCAAAACATGATCGATCTCAGCGGTAAGCGTCATCAGTTTACATAACGACCTGATAAAGAACCTCTTCAAAAGACGTACTGTGCGATAAAGCTATTAACCACATGGTTGCGAACGGTATTTAGCGGAGAAATGAATTTCTGCTGGCAATAGCAGTTTATAATACACAAAAAAGTGACAATTTAACATTGTGGTTGCATTGAGTGGATTTTAACTCAATTAAAAGAAATATTTTGGGTATAATTTGAAGCTGTTAGTTTGTTTTATATAAAACAGACGAAGATTTTGTGTTGAATTCATCGGAATGAATCTAACTGAGCTAGCATTAAAAATCGCTATTGGTATAAATAAAGACCTAAGTAGGAGAGAAATGAAAATAGTATAAAAGGACATAAAATGAGCGACAGATTTTGACATCGTGACTAAATGAACACAACTTAATGTCAATGGAAAATAGTTTTACTAATGACGATAAAACATGCTTAAAGCAATTTGGCCGACAGAAGAAATGTGCCGTTCTCTGCCACTCCTGATATTGAAATTATGCCGACGCGACCTAACTGATGTGATGAGCTGATTATAGAAAAAAAAAACAAAAAAAAAKAAAACATTTTCCAATGCAAGGTGAATGACTTTCAATAATGTCTTTGTGATATGGACCAAACACTTCTAGGGCCAAGGACAAACGTCCCAGAATCTAGTTTTTATATGTTGGAACAGTCTTTCGAATGAAAGAAACAAAACGAGCAGAAAATTACTTCATGAGGATGCTCGCGAAGTGAATTAGAAATCTTTTTTGTTTTTTGAATATATATAAAAATTTAATTAGCATGGCCAGCGTGCGTTAATAAATATTATTTATACAGTTTAAAAAAATTTGAATCGGTCTATACCGGCCTGTCTGCGCCATTGTTATACGCCTAAACCAAATACATTTTCTGTTAAGCAGTTCTGACAATATGCGCGTTTCGAAACAGTCTGCTTTAATTAACGACCTTTATCGTGCACTCGTCAACAATAACTCAATAGAATATGGACTGAGGAGTCAACTGACTTGTGACATCAGCGTCAAAACATTCTCTACACCTCAGAGAGAAGAAATTTAAGGGGGTTTACGTTTGAGGGCGCTTTTAAAGGCGTCTGCTCAGCTGAAATTCGTCTTATGATCAGAAACACTTACTAAAGCATGACTGCTAGCATACGAGAATTTGATATTGATGTGTTTAAATGGGTCGGTCCGTGATTCTATGCATGTTTTCATGTACTGTCCAGGTTTAAATTCTCTAAACTCTATTGCCCAAGGCCAGTATAAAAATATATGAAAAATTTTATCATTAACTACATGGTCATAAAAATAGGAAGCTTTAATTGAAATTTTAGCTAATTTTATATATTGGGAACTTCAGCTGTGATTATATACAAACAAAGCTTGCCCTAAACAAGTCTCGCTTTCAAGACAGCGTGCAAAATTATGGCGATATTTTACCGTTGCGCATTTTATAGCGAATTCCTGCAAAGCATTCTGGGTAAATAATAATTAGCTATAAATACAGAATTTTTGGGAAGAATTAAGCTTAATGTTTGTTTAAAGGCTAGTAATTCATGAAGTTAATTTCTAAGAGCTTGGTTAAATTTCCGTCCCTATTTATTTGGAAACAGACTATTAGCGCATGGAAACATGATTGAGGTCCGTCATAGCCTCCCTTTAGTGACCTACTGACAGTCAAGCCCTAATTATTATAATTGCAATTTTAAATCTCATTTTGAAGTGCATTCTTTGAGTTCTAAGGTCACGAGTACTAGACGATACAAAAGACTCAGTCTTCTACTGCGAAAAGGACGCCGAGCCCCACACAACTAAACGTTCACCGCACTTTGAGGAAAAGACCAATAAACATGAGCGGCCATCATTTTAAATTCGCAGAGCATGAAAACTTCTGCTCAGCTCTTAAGAATGGCTATCTACCAACAGTTCAAGACCACTTAAGCAAACCGGTAAGGATGTTTTTAAGATCGCGCTGAATGAATTTCAAGACTATTAATCCTGAAGTCTCCAAATCTGGGCTAAAAACCTGAGCAACCTTTATGATACCTTGTTTTATAATCCTAGGATTTTAACTATATGAATATATGGTTAAATATGGTTCCTATTAACGAGGTTTTGGGAAACAGATAAAAACCTTCACAGGGGCATTGTTCGTGGCACGCTTCTTGTTTTGAAAGCTTGTTTTGAGAACCCACGCACGTTTTTTCATCAATATTATCTGAAACATTCAATTAAGATTTTAAAATTGTTTATAGGGAGACGGAGTTTATGTACGAAGCTTTTTTTTCCTTTTATGGGCCGATAAATGGCTGTTTATAAACGTTTTTTCTAGCGGATTTGGTAGATTCGATGCGTGAGCGATAGGGCGATTGATATGTTAATTAATTTGCTAATGTACTAGTTAGTAACAAAAGTTGTTTTTTAGTATATTAAATTGATTTTATTCTGCGAATAAGTTACTGCAATAGTACTAGCATCCAAAATTCAATTTAATCAAATATAATATATTACATCAATCAAATATAAAAAATAAGAAAATAAAAGATATTGGACACAAAGTCAAAAAAGATTACATTTTGCATAAAAACGTGCAGAACATAAAATAAAAAACATTTAATCTTAAAATGCTGCCTCTTTTTCATCAGTACAGAAAAACGTGTACGCAAAAAAAGAGAAAAAACAACAACAAATATTTCAAATATTTCAGAAAAAAAATAATTAAACGAAACCTTACGTTGATGCTAAAAATGTTGACATTTTTCCTTAAAAGTCGATAAGATTGCAAAAACAAAAACAAAATATTTCGGATAACTTATACTAAGGAATTCATTAAAAGTACCCCTTAAGCTACAGTTTGACAATTTTAAATGGTGTACATAAATATTACTTCAAATTTACGGAGAGAAAGAAGATTTGTTAACATTTATTAATATTTACAAAAACCTTGAAGTTATTGTTATAGCTAGCATTATTTTCTCTTTGAGCGCAGATAGAAAGATTTAAAAAAATGTTTAAATTAAAAAAGATAAAAGATATTTGTAGGTGAGAAAATAATTAAAAGAGTTGAAGTTCCAGTTAATTTGACAACTTTTACTATGATAGCCGATAAAGAGGATAAAAAGGTCACCCAATATACAAAGACGTTTGATGTTATCCCGTTGGTGTCCATACTTGCCAACAATTAGATTTTGTTTCACGGGTTAAATATCTTCACTCTACCGCGAAGACGGTATTTAAGGGTCATGGTCCACCAGCATGCCTTTCGAGCTTTTCACTCATGTTTGAAAATAAAATACATCGTACTATTAGCAAAAATTTTATTATCTTTATTATTTATTATCTCTTTATTATCTCTTTATACTATATGAATGGAGATACTGTAAGATTCGATCTTACAGATGAAAAAAAAAAGCGGATTGCGAATGGATATTCGATGACACCTCATTTTCCATGTATGAAAAATCTAAAACACGACCACATTGCATGCTGGTGGACCATGGCCCTTTAAGAACTTTAAGAAGCCTTCAGTTGCGATGACGGTAACGAAACTAAAAATACATCGTACTATAAGCAAAAACTTAGTACTCTGTATTATTCCTTTATACTATAATGGAGATACATGTACTGAAGATTTGATGTATAGAAACCGATGGCGAATGGATATTCAAATCACCTCATTTTTCATATTTTCCATATATGACTATAAAACACGACCGCATTGAATTCTGGTGGACCATGACTTTGATAGAATAAAAACGGCAAAATGAGGACGTGCTACCAAAGGGGTTTGCAAGTGATGTGGCCTTTTTGCTAGGAAAACATGTTTTGACGCTAAAAATTGAGCTGGAAATTAGTGTTTCCTGTAGTCCTCCAAACGCAAATTTTGGCATTCACTTCAAAGCAGAGTACTGTTTTGTGCCTTTTTTTACCTCGTTGGGAAATTCTTTGAACTTTATAAAGATCGACAATATTTACTACTGAGTTCGCACTAACAATTCCAGGGCTATAGTTAACTATTTCGGTAACTTATCACTTTTAGACGCATCGTTTGAATTCGAACGATATTCTATAGGGCAGTCGCCAGAGGGTTAAGACTTAATTCTAACTATTGTTTCTTATGTTATTTTCTCGTTGAAGGGATCAGAAGTGAATATGAATGTAGATGCTGGACGTAACCCCTTACACATCGCAACAGAAGCTGGCCGCACAAACATCATGCATTACTTACTAAGGAACGGAGCCAATCCTCTGGTAAGACATGAATGCGTACTATTCCCAGCCTCCTCTGCAGGCGTCTATTTTCTTTCTAAAACATAACGGTCTTCCTGTGTTAGACAAACATCAGCAGGGGGGCTGGTAAAAAGGGAAAGAACCAAAAATAAATACGCCTTACGGGTACCCCGCTACAACGGACACCTCGATATTGCGGACAGTAAATACTGAATCCCCGTAAGAAAAAATACAAAGAAATGACTGAAAGTAACTCTCGTTACAACGGACTCTCGCTACTGCGAACACTATATTACGGTCCCGAGGGTGTCCGTTATAGAGAGAGTTGACTGTAAAGACCGGAAAAGCGAGAGAATAGTCCATTCCTGGCCTCCTTTCGACCCGTTACAGGAATGTCGGGAAAGAGAGTCCAGTACAACTTCGAAACAAGCCACGTCTATGCGGTGATCGTGAGCTCACAAAGCTGACATGCACATGTAAGTTATACTGGACTATCTTTTCCCACAAGTCCAGGAGCGGGTAGAAAGGAGGCCAGGACTGGACTAACGAGATCCTTGCGGAGGCTAGGATCATCCTTGAATTCAGACTTGTCGTAAGATTTTGATCAAAGATTCTAGAGCTAAACACAAGTCGTAGGTCGCACGCATTACACGTCTTGTTGAGCGGATTTAAATAAATGAATAAACTCTTTTATTTTGAGGGGTTAGCACGTAATAGTCTTTAGGCTAGTAAACTTGTGGCCCTCTATATATTCACTTAAACTCACTACCTCAACATTCATTATTTTACTACACGACACTCCTCACAGCTAGTTAGTTTTGACTGAGGGAGGAAAACCAGCGGACCTGGAGAAAAACCCTCGGAGCAAGGAAGAGAACCAGCCTACAAACTCAAATCACATATAGTCCCGGACCGGGAATCGAACCAGGACCATAGCGGTGATAGACCGGCGCTTTAACCGCTTGGCCATCCTTGTTCACCTCAGTCGGTCACTGGTGAAAAACGCACTGCGCATGTCCACTGTTCCCGCTGAAATCTGCCTAATTTCCTTTGTAAAGCGATTTTTGTGAAAGTTTTTTACAATTTACAAGCTATAAGATTCATATTTCCATCAATCATTGTTCATGATAGGTCCTTTTAGTATGTAGTTTCTATTTTTATCTTGTCATTTCTATTTTGAGAAAATGAGGTTTTTCGTAGTGTTCTCTGTGTTGTCGCTGTAAATCGCCAGGCGCTCTGTTTACAGATTTCAAGACGCGAGCGCCCACTGGCGGGAAAGCTGTGGGCATGCGCAGTGTGTTTTTCACCAGTGTCCRACAGTCGTATAACTATTTTGTTCCAATAGGCCGAGGACGATACGGGCGAGACACCCCTATTTATTGCTATTAGCTCTGGTAATAAAGAGATTGTCAAGATACTGTTGGACTATGTGAGTATTTAGTGTTTCCTTAGTTATCGACACGATAATGTACGCAATTGCCGCGTGGTTGTATTAAAATGAAAATTGGTTGAAAGGCGCTGGATTATCTAGATCCATCATTTAAATGATTGATTGACTAGTTCATTGATTGACTGGTTGGTTGGCTGATTGATTGATTGTGTAAAAAGATAAATTTATCACCGTAAAAAAAGTAGGTGAAATAACTTACTGAAGATTCGGACGTTAATCCTTCGTCGGAGTTGGTTGGTTAATTTATTGGTGGACAAATTGATTGATTGATTCATTGACTGGTTTAGTGATCGGTTGGATGGTTGGCTGACTGATTGATTGATTGACTGATCGATCGATTGAATGATTTATTTAACATGCAATGATTGACTTTTCGACTATGGTTGTTGATGCTTAGATTTGCTGGTAGTTGATTGATTGATTGATTGATCGACTGATTGATCGATCGATTGGCTGCTGAACGATTGATTGATTCATTGTCTGAACGATTGATCGAACGATTGATTGATTGATCGATTGTCTGCTGAACGATTGATTTATTGTCTGTTTGAACGATTGATCGATCGATCGATTGACTGATCAATTGGCTGCTGAACGACTGATTGATTGAGTGATTGATTGATTCATTATTGATTCACTGATTGTCTGTTTGAACGATTGATCGATAGATCGATAGATTGATTGATTGATCGATTGGCTGCTGAACGATTGATTGATTGATTGATTCATTATTGATTCACTGATTTTCTGTTTGAACGATTGATCGATTGATTTAGCATATATGGTTGATTTTGTGACGCTGGTTGTGGATACTTTGATTACAGATAATTGATTGACTGCTTGTATGATGATTTTGTGATTTCAGGGCGCTGACCCAACAGGAAGGTCCCCTGATGACGAGACATATGTCGAAATTTCGAAAGAAAATCCTGAGATTCAAGACATGATCAAAAAAGCTATAAAAGAGTGGTAAACCTTTCTTAGCTTACAAAGATCATCGACCAAAGTAAGAAGGCTACTTTAGAAAATATCGTCTATTCATAATAAGGTCTTTCGATCAATCGGTTTTAAGATCGACCTTGTATCTTCTTCTCACTCGTATCTTCTTTGTGAATGCGTCGCCTCTTAAAGGCCCAGTTTGCACCATTATGCTTTGCGCGCCTCTGTTATTGTTAAGATTTTAGATGAAAAATACTTCTAGTGTTCAAATATAACCATAAAATGAATGTCCGATGGTTGAAAACTCTAATATTAGCGTTGGAAGTGCTTAGAAAAGTTAGATGGTCAAGATTCGAAACGCACAGTACAGTTCAGTATAGACTTTCGGTAAACTGAAAATGGCCGCCGCCACGCCATCGCGGCCCGCAAAGCATAATGTTGCACACTGGGCCTTTAAAAGTTTTATGAGCTTCTTTAGATTTAGTTTAATTAGCTAATATTTCTTTTTCTCTTTCAGAAATACATCTTCTATTTACAAGAAGCTTTAACAAGAACATCAAATACACCAAAACTATGAATGTTGATTTAAAATCGCTTTAGGCGCACTTTAGCGATGAGTGCTCGTTTTAAATTCGTTTGAGGTCCCGTATAACCCTGAATGCTTTGCGCGCATCTTCATGAAATTGTGTATACAAAATCTTTTGACTGCTATTTGAGGCTATGGAGTGGTTGATTATAAAATACCCTGCATAAAACTTGCTGAGCTTTTGATAAATAAACGCAGATCACCACAAGCAACTAAAGCTTTAAAGCCTTCTATGGGTAAACCAACCAATCAAAAACAAGCACTTTTTTCAATACAAAAAAAAACGCTTGCAAAGCACCCAGGGTAATACTGGCTCTTTAAAATTTTAAATGTATGAGACTTTGAGTGAGCTTATATTTCCGGAAAAGGATGTTAGTGAGAATAAAATTGGAAATTGTTGATTAGAGAGCAATTGAAATGACTCCATGTTGTGAATGAAATAGTCCTTTCGACTCATCATCACGGATCGAGAAATAATGTAATTCACCAGAGTCTCTCGCACATCGACTTCCGCTGGATGGCAAAAATGTGGGCTCTGTTCCGTTCCACCACCCCTCTCCCTTCAAATGACTGCTCAACACCACCATATTGAAGCATGGATGCTTACATGTAATAGTCCCCCCCCCTTCCCTCCTGGTCTAGATACTCAGATTTTTTTTTTTTTTCAAAATAGTTGATATTAGAAAAAAAATAGAATTACAGTAATATCTCGCAATTCCCGAAGGAAAAAAGACAAATCAAATTCCATTTTGCAATCTGTTAAGAAAAATGTGATCCTCTTATCAAAACAATTACCTTTCCTAGTACAATAAGCTTAAAATATTAAAGAGTTCCTTCATGCAGCTCGGGAACTCGGGCGAAACTACATCAAGTAATATGCTAATGAACAACCGGCTTTGTGAATTCTGTCATTTGGCAAACTTACCTGGATCTTCTTAAGTCGTCTATGGTCTCATTTTGGTGATTTTTGGGGGTATTTCGAGCTTAGAGGCTTTCAAAACCAAACTATCAAACTGCTGTTACTGGCTGCCATGTTGTTTGCGTTCCTGGAAACCTGGCCTTGAACAACACAACCGCACCACAGCAGCCCCACGCTAAAAATCATCAAACATAAACAACGAAATAAAAAAAACGACTTGCAAAATATAAGCATAATATAAACCCAGGCACAGAATTAAAAAAAGTCTAGTATAATTTTCTCAGAATTACCAGAAACTTTATTAAGTCTAATAAATTAATCACGGTGAATTGGTGGAGGCTTGGGAACGAGTAGTTGACCAGATGTTCGGAGTTCCTGTGTCAAGATGGCGGCGTCCATGTTCGAAACTTCGTTGTTGGGAAAGAATTGAAAAAATAAACAAATCTCAAAGGTAAGACTCATTTTTTTAACCTTATTAGAATCACATTTGACATTGTATTAGAATATTGGTTTCTTGGAGGTCATCGCACCATTTTATAATGTTTTTGCCAGCAAAAGAAGTCCGGTCGATGAGTCATGAAATTCAAAAGAGAGCCATTTAATATAGTCTGCGGTTCTAAATAGAATTAATGTTACTACATGTTTTATTGCAATCTGTAACTGTTCTTTTTAATTTGTATTTTCTTATTCTATAGTAGCCAAACTTCTTGTACTCGTCGCTGACGTTTATTTACATTGATACTACGTTAATTACAAACGAACGGTTCCTAAAATGTTACATTACAGAAGTCAATAAACGAATAATACAAAAAAGGCCAAAATACGAAAAAACTGAAAGAATACTTACAAGATAGTTTGTAGTGAGTTCCGTTAAAACGTTGAAGTGAACTGACTTAATTACACAATTTTACAATACTTAAAACGATTAGAACAAAAGAACAGAATACATTAAATTTACGAAAAGAAAACAATTATTCGCACCAACATATTCCTTTTTTTCATTTCTAAACAAAATTTCTAAGTGCCTCAGACAAAGTGCTTTCAAATTAAGCTTAACTTAAATTGCAGCTAAAAAAAACAGGATTATTGCTATTTACTTAATTACTATCATTTAATTGACATCTAAACAAGTTAATTATTTTACTAGAGTAATAAAAAGAAAATGCTATTAACAAAAGCTCCAGACCATTGGTCGAAATGGCAGAATGATATCCTAAATGGCATTGATTGTATCCCAAAGACTGGTGTTCCAGGGAAAATAATTGCATATGGCGACAATGCTGTCCCGATTCTCACAGGAGATGAAATTCACGAGCTTATATTGACAGCATCACAGTGCGGCAAAGGAAAGATTGTAGTATTTTCACATAATGGATACATTGGTCCTTTTATTGATTGCAGTAAGGAATTTAGTTCACTTGTAAGGAACATTAAAAAATGGGCAACAAATGGAGTATATACACAAAATGATAACACTGTGCTTAATATAACTGAAGAAACATCTATTGAAGATCTGAATAATGCCAAGTACAAGTTGTTGATATGGGGCTGTGATGAACAAGATGACGACTTTATAAAAAAAATGTTAAATGTTGTGAAGGATAAAGGTGTTGGGCTTGTCATGGGGATGTGTCCATGGGGATGGCGGCAGCTGAATAACGACAGGCCACTAGAGGAAGCATGCTTCAGTCCTGTACTCGATGAAGCTGGAGTCTGCTATACAAGTGATTACACTGATAGTGGGGAAGACGGTGGATTCCTTATTGAGCACAATCTAGCAAACCAAGCTCACTTGGGACTGGCTCTTTCTAATCTCAAAGAAAACTTCAAAAATGCATCTGAAGAACACATTCAGCTGCTTCAACATGCAATTCCAAATTTACCTGATAAAATTTGGAGAGATCTTTCATCAAAATTTACTAAGATGCTTTCTAGCTTCAAGCACATAATAAAACCTCCTTCTCCAAAGCACCCTGTGTCAGATAATCTCGAGAAACTTCTTTTGAGTATCCAAGCTAGAGAGCTTAGGCTGTCTGCAAGTGAGGGAGTGAGCATTCCAGGGTGTGAGTGTTTTCCTGGAAATTTCTCAGAGTTTAATAATTTTGTTGGCAGTAAAGTTTCTCTGAGGATAACAGCACGATTCAAGAATGAATGGCACTGCACAGGCTGCTACATTCCTGCTGGATGGAAGCTTGTAGTCACTGCAACAAATGGAGGTAAGAGATCTAAGCAAAATGTTCATAAATTAGGCAAAATGTACCCTGCTAACAGGCATTTCTTCATGGCCCCCAGCAGTAACACGTGTTAGCAGGCTAGATAAAACAGTACTGATGTCCCTACAGTATGGCACCAGTACTGAATTGTGAAGTATGCAGCCCGTTATCTCCCTGTTTTGTTAATGAACATGGTGATGGTTTCTTTACAGATTTCTCAAATTGGAGTCTCCGTATTGGGTCACACAGTGATGAACTCCATTTTGATGATGACTGGAAACGCTGGCCAAATGTATGCACTACAAAAACTCTTACTGAATGTAAGCATTATTAAAAAGCCCTGTGCTGTGTTATTGATATGATAATATGATCAAGTTTTTTTTTTATATATTTTATCATTTTTTTGGATGGTGTAGACAATAATTTACAAATTACAGCAGAAACCGTTGTATCGCGACTTCAATGTTGAAAGGAAATAGTTGGGATTTAGGTTTTTCTGCGACTTGGGGGCGGAGCTTGATACTAATCAACCAATGATTGAATGAGTTTTCGAAAAGCTCCGCCCCTCAGAATGAAAGAAAGAACAAAATCCAGACAAACTTCAAAACAAAGAAGTCGCGATGCAACGATTTCTGCTGTAAAGAGTATCATACTAGGCATGATACCCAATATGACCAAGTTGTTGTTCAAAGTGTTCTGTTCTTACCTTGCAAGTTACGTCATCACCGCCATGTTGGATGACGATCATTCCTCATGATCTTTTTATTCATCCAACACGATTTTTCATTCAGCAATTGCTATTTCTCAGGGGATTTCTGGCCATGTGGGTTGCACACCAAAGATAGTGATGTTTATGTATTATCAGACTGACTATGATTGTTTTTTATTATAATTTTTTTGTTCAAAACAGTATGCACTGAGCTTGTTTCACCATTTGGTGGTCTTGTTTACCTCAACAATTCCAATGAAGGCACTCTTGAAGTACAGCTTGAAAATATCCTTGAAGCCCCTCTTTATGACCTCACCAACCCAGCTCTCTGTGCTACATGGGAAAGAAGACGTCAAGCCCCGGGTCTTTGGGCTGAGTTGGCTGGGGAACATATCATTTTCACCTTACCATCAAGCTCAGTAAGAGAGCTGACTGACCCTTTAGATTGTCTTCGCCTGTGGGACAAAGTTGTCTACTCTCACCATCATCTAAAAGGTACATGCGGATTTTGTATGACTGCAAAAAACACTGTATTTTTCGAGCTGTGACCGTACCATGCTGTAGCGGTGATGTGTTTTATTTTTAGATTTAAAAATCTTTATTTTCATTTGGAATCCTAGAAGGCGAGGTTCCGTGACCGTGCTGTGCCTATGTTAAAAGAGTCAATTTCGTATGAGTGGGAAACCGTTATCGCACGATTACTGCACAGTTACCGGACCTGGGCTGCACAATTTTTGTGTACCAATGAGGCACTAGAATTTGGTTACAGCACGATTACGGTCACAGTACAGTACCGTCCTTTCCCACTCGTACGAAATCCGCTCTATCTGTGCCGTTGCACAGTCATACAAAATCAGCTCTAGTGAACAATTGACAGTTAATTGCCCCTATGAACTGTATATTTTTCAACTGAAAAATCTAATATCTGTTCAACAAGGTATACATGTATTAATAATCATTTCTTTTGTGTTGTATATTTTAGGATCAAATCCCTTGGAACAAAAGCGTGAACGTGTAGTATGCGATGTACAGCCATCTGCAGGATACATGCATTCTGGGTACCCTGTGGTGACCCACCTTGATATAACTGAAGTCCAATCCAAAGAATTTGTCATGAACCCTGTACAACTAAGGGGGGAGGGGTCATGGGGTCTGTACCATGAACTTGGTCATAATATGCAAGATGATGCATGGACGTTTGATGGTACAACCGAAGTCACCTGCAATATCTTCACTTTGCATGCAATGCAGATGGTTTCTGGACGAAAACCCTGGATACACAGTTGGTTACAGGGTCAGCTCACAGAAACATACAACTATCTAAGTAATGGCACAAATTTTGATGACTGGAAAGAAAGCCCAGGCGTTGCTTTATTTATCTATGCTCAGTTGATTCAGGCCTTTGGATGGGACAGTTTTAAGGTGAATATAATACTCTTTTGCCATCCTACTTTGACATTTTAAAAGTCAATTATCTTTAATTATTGGCAAGGTAAATGATTAAAGACCATGACCTCACTAGACCCACCCCAATACATAGATGCATTGGGAAATGCAGCTGTGATCACACACGTCTAAAAGAAACAAATATAATGCAATTTATAGCTTCATCCACATGGAAATAGGAAACTTCGTTCAGATATTAAACATACAAGCTATCCAAAACTGCTGTGTAAATTACCTTCTTTTTATGTGGCTGCATGGCAGTGCCTTTTTATGCTTGAAAAAATAAACAATCCATGGACAGTGATATATTTTAGAAAATTTTCAAGCGCTTCTGTATCTTTTTATGCTTACTTAATTCATTGAATATCATTACTTTGTCTGCAGACATTATTTCGAAAATATACCAACGAGTCCATTCAGCCAGAAAGCAACCAAGAAAAGATTGATCTCTGGTTTTCACTATTCTCAGAGGTTGTGGGTTACAATATACTGCCAATGGCAATGTTCTGGGGCATTCCTATCACTGAAAGTGTTTCAGAACTACTTCAAGCATCTGATTTGAAACTGTTCCTTCCAGATGATGAATTAACCAATCACGAGTCTGCATTACAGCGTATCAGTGTGGTGAAATCCAAATTTGGCAAGTTAGTAAGAAATGTAGCTATAGTTGATAGTGCACCTGCAAGGTTTGGATTTGATGAGAGAAGCCAAGTTGTGCGGAACCCATCAGTAATTTATATTTAATTAGAAAGGATTTTACACAACATAATGTACTGTCTTTTATTTTTTGTCCTTTTGACTACTTCACAATATCAGTATTTACAATAAGGTCTAATTGTTTTAGTATTGCCATACTTGTTGGACAAAAAAAAGAATGGAATTATATATATAACTAAATGTCTTTATTAATGCTAATAGTTTGCACTTATGGCTTTGGCTTTAATTAAATTTGCATAAATTATCTCCAACATCGTTTGACAAAAATCAATTCACTACACACTGGTGAAAGGTGGTTTGAATTAAAAACTTAAAATGATCCTTTAACACATCGAATTGACAGGAATTTCTCTTCTAAATAAAAAAAAAATCAAAGTTGACGGTTTTCACTAGTCGAGGACTATTGAAAATAGACCCAGTGTAGCATAGACAATCAGAACAAAGGACTTGCAGTATTCCACTAGTATGGTAATACTGATAAACACCTGGAGCCAGTTGTATGAACTTGTGAATAGTGTTATTAATAACAAATCCTAATCCAGCAGATAAAAAATTCTAAAGAAACAATTGTGTAAAAAGATAAATTTAACACCGTAAAAAAAGTAGGTGAAATAACTTACTGACGTTTCGGACATTAATCCTTCATTCGTTGCTCTTTACTCCGATGAAGGATTGACGTCCGGAACATCAGTAAATTGTTTCACCTACTTTTTTACAGTGTTAAATTTATCTTTTTAGACAATTGGATAAAAAACAATACACATTCCATGGAGTGTATACCCTATAAAAATTAAAAAATTTGTCTACAATGCTATGAATTCATTTACCTCCTATTCCTCAGAAATCATTTTTAACCAGCATTCATTGGAGTTATGCCTTTGGATTTTCACATTATATATTGTCTTAATGTCTTCATGTCATTTTTCCGTCTGAGTCCATTAGGAAACCAGACAATGTCGTCGTCTAAGTCAAAGAGTCAACATTGCCGTCTAAGTCATCCAGGCGGCCATGACATTGTCTTAATGTCTTCATGTCATTTTTCCGTCTGAGTCCATTAGGAAACCAGACAATGTCGTCGTCTAAGTCAAAGAGTCAACWTTGCCGTCTAAGTCATTCAGGCGGCCATGACATTGTGTAAAATGACTTTAAGTATCAATTTGCGATCCCTTGCAATCATATAAATAACTGTCAGAATTAATTTGAATGCCGCAAATTTGCATTACAATAGACTTGCAAGCACTTGTAACAGTCATGGTAATTATAAATAAAATGAGCAAATTTATTACAATTCTGGGTTTTCTGGAACAGGATTTAGTTTCATGTTTTCAGCCCCTTGAGGAACCTTGCGCTGAAATTGATAAGAAATAATATACAGTCAACTCTCTCTCTCGTAAGCAACCACCTCGGGATCAGGAAAAAGTGGTCGCTTACGAGAGATTGTCGTTTATGAGAAAGTATATTTACAGAGTATGTAACTATGAGAAATAGAACAAAACGGGAAATTTAAAAGGTGGTTGCTAATTAATTACTAGAGTGGTCATTCAAAGTTAACTGTAATGATATTTTAATAAATTTAAATTATATATTACAGCGGATTTCGTATGAGTGGGACACCGTTACCGCACGGTTACCGCACAGTTACCGGACCTGGCCTGCACAATTTTGGTGAACKAYTGGGGCACTAGAATTTGGTTACAGTACGGTTACGGTCACAGTACAGTACCGTCCGTTTCCCACTCATACGAAATCCGCTCTACCATGTACAAGGTGCATATTATTATAACTTATACTTACATTTTTATAGACAAATATCACAATACCCACAATAGCAATAACCAACAGCACACCTATCACAATCCCCACAATCTCTCCGGTTCTGAGCGGTTGATGGCTGCTTTCAGGAGCAATATCTGAAGCCTTCTCATTAGGAGTTGTGCTTTGAATATTAGTGGTAGGACCTACACAAAATACACACACATTTAGTGGTAGGACCTACACAAAATACACACACATTTAGTGGTAGGACCTACACAAAATACACACACATTTAGTGGTAGGACCTACACAAAATACACACACATTTAAAGGGACACTGTCAATGGATGACATGCGCAGTACAGTCTCGCCTCTAATGGACTTTGAAAGTATTACCTTTGAGGTAAATCATTTTGTGGTGCTTTTGACACACTTTGGAATATTCTAGATCTGTTTACGTTTACGAGCTTTTTTATGTCGCGCCAACTTGGAGTCATAAACTTGAAAACATTAGCCTAATGTTTTCAAGTTTACTCGCGCATGCGACAGTGTCCCTTTAATGTTCTATTGTATGTGAAAAATGGTTTAAAAAGATTTTGAATTGAGATACAGTGTTAGTCTCCTCTCGTAGCCGTTAGGACGTTCGAGTGACCTGGGAACAAACGGGAATCCATTTTGCAAGGGTTGCCCTATTTTACTATGTCATTGCAGTTGTGTTTCCAGTATTTGTCCCTGGGATGTTCTTACATATACAAGATTATSAGCATGAAATACATGACATTGAATGTGAAATCATAGAAATCTATCAAATTTGATCATTATTGTAAAGTTCAGAGTATGTCAGTACCTTGAGTTGTAGGACATATTATTGCTTTGAAAGATGGCAAGTTGTATGTAAAATCGTTTAGCATATGGCCATAACCAAGACTCTGTTGAAGAAAACAGTAAAAATTATATAATTATAAGTGTGGCCTTTACCACCAATGTGTTAAAATAAATCCTTAAACAGTCAAGAATATAGACCACTTTCAAGTGCCTACTATCAATTTTATATGATTGGCAATATTAATGAAACATTCAGCAGTGCTGTCATATTGAAGAACTATCAGAAATACGTAATTGTGCAAAATCTTGAAGATATAGACTAAATGCTAATGAAGTTATGGAGGAATGAAAATACAAGGATTTGTATGAAATTCTTTACTGAGGCCTTGGTGGCCTCGTTTTGGTGTTTTTGTGCATCTTCCAACCCTTATATTAAATCCTCTGGAAGTTATAAGTTATAACTCCCAGAGGATTTAATATTTTTTCTTTGAAACTTTCAGAGCTCATGGCTTTAGCTTTGATATCTATCATTTGAGTGTTTCCTTTTGTCAACATTATGAATTTAACAATAATATGCTAATTAGTGTCGGCCAATGTGAAAGTTGTGTATACCATTACAAAAGAATCCCAATGCCTGAGGAGGATGAAAATATAAGTGTACTATACCCCATCCTCGTCTTCATACACAGCTCTCAGTTGAACACCATAATGTTTCCCTATCTTGAATGGTCTGTTCACATTCTTGACATATGTTTTATTATCTCCAATGTTCAGCAATGTTGTATTTCCAGAGATATAGAATGAAGAAAGTTCTGGACCAAAATGTTGCCATACAATTACTTGATAATAACTGAAAAAAAAATTAATGTAGAGTGCTCCCTTGGACTTGAAAAAGAGTCTGTTCATTCATATTCATATTAACTTACGTGATAAGCTGTTTCTCTTTAAGAGTCAGCCCTGTACGATTGATAACTAGCCTTGGTCGACAACCTTCGATTATGTGGTAACGAGGAACTGCAGCTAAATAGGGCATTATTTGAAAATTATATTATAGACAAAATAAATGAATATTAATAATAATAAATTAAAGTAATTGATTCACAATTATGTAAACCACACTTTTTCCTACAGCCATCTCATGCAATCTTCCCACTGTCGTAGAGATTCAAAACATTTCTGAATCTACATTATTATGTGTCCAAATCCAGTCTAAAAGAACTTAGATGTTAGCCATAGATGTCAGTTGTGGTCTGTTGTGAGGTGGAATTACAGGTGGACTTTCTTGTTAGTACACTGTAATTAAACAACCCATCTCATGCAAGCCTGTGTCACATCCAGACAAACCACATGTTTATCTGGATGTGATACAGGCTATCTCATGCAAACTTCCCTTGTCATCAATTAGTATTTTTTAAACCATTTCTGACTAATGGAGGTTTAATTTCCAAACTGATCATACCCTTTTAATGACCATTTCCTGGTATTTAGGATAAATAAAAATCACCCAATTTTTAAAATTACTCCACTTACATTTTAGGCCTGTGGTTATCATTATAATAGCCTGCGTTACATCCGGTTTTATTTAAAACATACCTGTTACATACCATAAATTCTGTGTGGGTTGTCATAAGAACAAAACCAGATGTAACACAGTCTACATGTATTATTATATCCATTTGAATAAAAATAATTATATAATAATAATAATAGTTAATACTGTCTTTCACATGGTGTATAATATTTAATATTATCATATGATTTGTATTTCGGCCCTGCGCGCGCTCTTAAAAAACCTTTGGGAAGTGGTCACGTGATTGGGGCTGTACGCCTTTCCGCGACAAGGCTGTACAAACCCATATTTTCCCGGCTTGAAGTTTTTTTACATCAAAAAACGTTGTCATAGATAAAATGTTTATTGACTGAGTTCGGTCGGGCCGTTGGGGAAAATATTTGGCTCTTGGTCATTTGTACAGACCTCTCTGTGCTTGGTCCGTACGGCATAAACTCGAGCCAAATATTTTCCCGTACACCCCTCCCACTCTATCAATAAGTACAAATTCTTTTAATTATACTCACCCACTTTGCATGCAATCTTCTTAGGATATTCACATGGACCAGGATGATATACCTTCCATGTGTCACCATGGGAACAGTTCCCTCTCTTTGATATTGCACATGATTTATTCAACTCCCACGATATTAAAATCTTAGGACGATTTCCTGAGAAATACAGTTCATCACTTCCAAGATATCCAAGTTGATGACAAATGAAATCAGTAGCTGTTCTGTTAAGTTCGGAAAAGGTAGTGCACACTGTTGCCCATACACCTCGATGTTTTACTTCTAGAAAACCAATATTTGGCTCTTTATAGCCACTTATACGGAACTCTACACTTGGAGGAACTGCAAGTAAGACATTCAATCAAAATATATTTTAATTGGTATAAATAGTATAAAAACTGCATCAATTTAAATTAGTCTTAAAAGATAATCAAATCTTAGACAGTACAGAGTTCATTTTCCAAAAAATGAAATCCAAAACACTGTATAGACTGGTGAAAGTTATGACCCTTAAGCTAATTTAATAATTAGGAATATAAGCAGATTAAAACATACTTTCATTGTTCTCACAGAATGCGCCTACAAAGTAATTTCTATCCAAATAGCTTTTACTGCAATACTTGCGATCTACTTGAGCACACTCTGCAATCGTTGCTTCTTTGCCCGTGCAATGATACTGTTTTGAAACTACATTATGTACTAAAGACTTAGAAGAGTCTGCTCTCATGGAAATTTTGTATATAAATCCACCAATAGCACGTCTGTAGCCAAGCATCTTGCAAACAACATTGGCATCTTTGCTAGACCACTGTATTCCAGATACCCAATTATAGGCGATACAGATCTTTTGCCATGGCCATGCATATGTCGTTTCTACAATACCAACATTCTTAAGAATTGTATCAACAAGACGGACTTGAAGTTTCTTGTCAACTGAAAAGAAAAGCAATAACATTGTGGCTATCATGATAATCTATTCCTAGCATGCATAGACAACTCCTGTTGATCAATATTTTACCTGTTAATTTTAAAAATAAATTTATAATTCATCCATATTATTCTATGACTTTTACATGTTGAACAAAAAAAAGTATGGTCCTAACGTTTGTTTTCGAATTTTTAATGAGCTTTGAATATTTCGACCCTTAATTGGTACTAAAGAAATGTACAGTTTACAGGTGCTACATGTTTCAAGTCCCTTATAGGTTTCTGTCCTAGTCCAATCCTACCTTTTGAAAGGCTCCCGCAAACAGCATATACAGCACTATATGGTGGATCTTTTACTGGACCATCCATGTTAATAGGAATAGCAGTATAACAATCACGGATAGTCTCCTCTCTTCCTGTACATCTCAAAACTCTCGGCCAATATGTACTGTTAGCGGCATATGGATTATACCAAACTGCATCTCCTTTGATAGCTTTGGTATAATTCAGCATTCGACATACCACAAAAGCGTTCATCAAAGGTTCACTGTTTCTGTAGTCCAACAGTGTGCCCCAGGTGTCATTATATCGTATCTGTATGAAACCTTCGTCTTGAGTTTTACCATTAACCAAACGGACAATGTTTTCAGAATTGGAATCTAGACATATGTACAAAACGAAACAACCACAAAAAATCAATAAAACACAAACAGCTTAAACTATATCAAATATTTGTTTGTTGGTTGGCTTAGACATATCATTGATCTTGTATCATCAACCAATAAGTTATTTTATTTCCAAGCTTTTGGGCCTTTAGGCTCATCATCAGGGCTAATGGAGTCAAACTATGTTTAAGCAATTACATTACATTACATTATGTCTGGAGTTTTACCATTATCCAATCGGACAATGCTTTCAGAATTGGAATCTAGACATATGTATACAAAATGAAACTACCACAAAAAATAATAAAACACACAAACAGCTGAAACTATGTTTAAGCAATCACATCATTACATTGGATCTGAAGAACAGCTGATCAATTACATTAGAGATTGACCACTTAATTAATAGAAGTTATGTTAAATGTAAAATGACAATTGACTTTTGGGGAATTCACAAGTGACCACAAAAATAATACAATGTGTGTTTTAAACAGAACGCAAAAAATGTGACAAAGCAAAATTAAATTATTTAATCTCACCTGCTTTTACAAGAAACCACAAACACAGGATGATTGCAAATATTTTCATAATTATTTATGATAATTTCCTGTGAAAAGGGAAACCAGTTATTTTTTTAAACTAATAAAACATTCATCCATACATAATGTGTGTGACAAGCATGCTGTAACAAGACAGTTTATATTTTATACTAAAGCGTGGATTTCACTAGCGCATAAGCATAGGCATAAGCACAAAGTACGAGAGTCATATGCGCCAGTGAGAACGGGCTCAAAATAAGCATAAGCATGAGCACAAGAAAAACGAACAAGGCTTGATCTTCTTGTACTTACATGTATCTCATGCTTATGCTCAGTGAAAACGGGACTGCATAGGCATAAGCATAGCCTAGTACCGAAATAATACGCTCGTGCGCATGCTCAATGTCTTATGTTTATGTCGAGTCTGTTCTCACTGGCGCATATGATTCTCATGCTTGTGCTTATGCTATGCTTATGCGCTAGTAAAATCCACGCTTAAGACTTATTAGATGAAACGCACTTTGCTCAAACCCCACTACTAAGCTTTAATTCTTGCAGCGATAATTTTAGTCATTCAGTCTTTTTGGGAAAAAACCTTTCTCACATGCGACAAAAAAGACAAAATCACTGAAAATTCAATACATCAATCTCTGGCCCTGCCAGACCTCCTCCGACACTTTTCATGTCTCATCGACACACGCAAATTACAAATTCTTACGTTCAAGTTTAACATCTACTCGAAATTCGATGTTTTCGACAAAAGATACGTATTCAATCTTAAATGAAACTATAAGTTGGTCTTAGAAACTTGATGAATATCTTTTTTTGAGTGAAAATAAAGACTTAAGCTTAAGCTTAAATCTTACAGGGCTATAACTTTAATGGTATTATAAAATCACGTCAAACATCTCTACTCACAATTAATGCATAGTAAACTTACCTTATTTCTTCATCAAGAAGAGATGTTTAAAACCCTATTCAACGCCCTTTTAAGACTACAGACCCCGAGTAGCAAAAACAAAAAGATGCCGGTCGTCTCCAGTGGGCATGGGTTTCCTCTGCATGTTGTCCTTGTCAAAAAGGAATTATGGGAATGATAAAATGGCACAGGTAGACCAAAAATTGTTTTCCTCAGTGCTCAGAAAGATTGAAAATAGACCGTATTCTTTCCGAAAGTAAAACTTTAGTGTATCCAAAATTGACATACATCATTTATCAATGATAGAGTGATCGCACTTAAAAAAATACGCAGTCAAAGACTGCATGTGACTCAGGCCAAAAATATAGGCCAATGAAATGTGTTAAAAATGTAGATAAGAATTGTACTCTGATAGAGTAAAAAAAAAGGTTATTGATAGTAGTGGTAGCTGTAAACTATGAAAAGTTAGGTGGACCACTCTTAATAATAAATATTTATGAAGTGAATAGATAGACATTTATTTTTAAATGCTGTAAAATACTAGTGAAATTTATTTAAAAATAATGTTTACCACTCATTGGCAAAATAGTCAAAAAGAGCAATGAAGTCAGTTTTTTTAAGCGAAATTACTAGAATAACATGCATTTTAATAACATGCACACATTTATAACACTATCAACTCAACTTTAAACATAGCCAAACTTTACAAGTTTTACAGCATTTTCAATTATGTTATTACATGGAATAATGTTGAGAACTTTTTCACTGTATAAAAAGATTGCTATTCTGTCACAGCTTATGTGGAAATTGATTATGTATAATGTTTGGTATTAAGGGACTGGAATCATGATATCAAAAAAAACATTATCAAGTGAGAAACTAATTAAACAAAACAATGAATGTGTATATTGAATATAACATGATAATAAGACTTTTAAAAATGCATTATTATCATTGCCACATGATTGCAATTTGTCCTATGTACAGTGCATTGAAAATTTTGAAGTATATTTGACAATTGACAATTTTKTTTTGCATTTTTACTAATTAAAATTAGTAAAATTTTGTGGAATTTTCTTCCAAAATATTTGACAAACATAATATTTTAGGTTTAT